ATAATAATAATAAACAAATTATAAGAAACAAATCAGGGGGTACAAATGGGTCATGGGACCCACGGTAAGAACGAAGTTCTTCAAACATGACATGAGTACAAAGACACACAATTTCTCAGGTAACAAGGGGGTCGCCAGACCCATAGGAAGAACGAAGCTCTATAAAAATAAGTTCTGCATTCATGTAGTTCACTGAAACAAAAACTTGAAAAACGAATAAAAAAAAACAAGAAAATTTAGTTCAGTACTCACGATAGTTGAACTTCGTGAGTACGTCATGCATAAATACAGTACTCACGAAGTAATTGTGTGTCTTTGTACTGATGTCATGTTTAAAGAACTTCGTTCTTACCGTGGGTCCCATGACCCATTTATACCCCCTGGTTTTTTTTTTCTTTTTCTTTTTGCCGTCGGTGGGTGGTATTGTTTTCCGATAGCTAAAGTTTCCAAGATTACATTTGCGCTTCGATTCCTCCTTCTCCGATACTACCGGTGTTATTGCCGCATGCTAATTGGATCGATGGAGGATAGGAAGTCGCCGATGATTGGGCGTGGAAGTGCGGCGGGTCGTTTCCCCACCCGATGGATGAAATTGCCGAGACTATGCACGTCTTATACGTGATTTCTCGTGAAAAAATGGTCCTGATCGTGCGTTACGATATTCGCGCGCAACGGTTCCAAGTAATTGCCGAGTTTTTCAAAAAGCTCGCGCTAACTTCGCAGAGGAGGAGAAACGGCAGAGCTCTGATTGCCGAGGAGGGAAAAAAAAAGGTAAAGGATAAAACGGAGGAGGATTCATTTCGTTTACTCCTTTCACAGGAAGCTGTATATATAGTAGCGCTTGAAAGGCAGGGCTGCCTGTATATAATAAACGACGCGCACTTGTCGCATCAGACCTCCTCTTTGATGTCGATGCATCGTTGCTGCTCTCGAGTATCTATACTATTATTATAAACGAGGGGTGCCCGTTACTCCTGATATTACATTTTTTTTCTCTCAGCCACCATCGTCTTCTTAAATGTTTCACAAGTAACCAATATTGTTAATTCATTGCTTACCTAAACAATTTTTCTACCAGTTGTATACGTATTATAATCCAAAATGAAAAAAAAAAAATTAATGACATCGAGGAAGTTTGTCGTCAACTCGGTCGAACAGCTGTTTACTCCATCCGTAAGTTCAACCGAGCTTAGTGACCCATCAAGTGATTCTGCGTAAACGGTAAAGGAGACTGGAGGGAGTATGGATGACCCAGTCCGACTGTATGGGTGTATCGATCCCTCGCAGCTAGCATAGTTTTGGAAAATTAGCGTGAATTAGGATTTTCGTACCCCCTTTAAATTTCAATACCACCGGGCGCCGGGGGTAATTACATTCATGCAACTCTCGAACTAATTAAAAGTTTACTGGTGGGTTCCTTTTTTGATCCCCCGCCTCACATAGTAATTAACGCGACGCGACGAGCTTTAATTATCTTTTTTTTTTTTTTTTTTCTTCAACTTGAATCCGTGATTAGCGAAAAATAAAGTTTTTAGTTACAAAAAAAAAAAATGGAGGCTATCGATGGTTGCATTTCAGTTTTATTTCTATATGCTCCATCGAGCCAAGCCGTACCCTGCTCACGTACGTCCTCTGATAAACGCGAAATGTCTGGCGTGTGATCGAATTTCCCGCTGATGAAAAATGTGTTACGTTCGCAGGCGGTCGATGCCACGGATATGATGCGATACGCTGGGTGCAGCCTATAATTTATGTGGTAACTTTTTTTATTTTATTTTATTTTTTTTTTTTTATTTCGTCGAGTAACTTATTATGTACTGAATTTGTCTTTCTTCCACGTCCCTTTATCGTGGCACATATATGGCAGTGAACGGAAAGTAAATTGAAATTACATTTTCGAATGGAAAATATTTCACCTATACACGTCACATAAACGTCCAAATTTTGTTTGACGTTCACGGCACGTTGACGGAAGTGAACATCGTTGATTTACAACGCTTTACTTTCAATTTATGTAAAAACCATCCGTTATATTTGCAGTTTCGTCAAACGTTTGGAAAACGATTTTTTTTTATTTTTTCATTAAATGAAAGATAAAAATGGACTTTTTCGCGAGAATTGAGACGAAATTCTCTTTAGGTTTTTTGCTAATCATCAACTGAACTTTAGTACAATATTCTCGGCACCAACAATTTTTAATTCTCCCAAACGCAACTCACAAATTGGAAATCGGTACTGGGAATATTTTTTTGTTTTTCCAATTGCATTTGAATCAAGAAAAAAAAAAGGGGAGGGGGGGGGGTAACGAACCTTGAGCAGCTTGGTGCCATTGGTGAACTCCCCGGCGGTCGTGTTCTCGAGCGGCTGCTGCGACGCATAGGCCATCGGAATACCGGTACTGGTCATCGAGGTGGTGAGCACGGGTCTCGTCACTCTGGTCGTGTTGAGCAACTTGACGCCCTCGCCGATTTTTATCCCAGAGCTGCCCCGGCCCGTGCTCGCGTGGCCACTGCTCCCACGGTCCGTCTTACCGATCTTGATCGTACTGCCGATTCGCTGGCCTCTACTCGTCCCCAGAGACAACACCAGCAGAGCCGCGAACAACAGCCGCGGAAACATGTTTTTTTTTCTTCTTCTTTTCGTCCCCTTGGTTTTATCTGCAAGTACAAGTTATAGAGGAGCTTTTTTAATGGAAAGCCATTTATCGAGCAGTACAGGTGTAGACGATTCAAAACGAGGGATGGGAAAAGGTGATGGATGTCGGGTGCCTTTAGCGAAGGATAGAGTATATAGGTATACCTATTTGCGTGACCTGGTTGGCGGAGGGCGAAGGCTGTTATAATTTAAACCTCATATTGTTCGTGAATTCAAAGGGGAGAAGATTTTTGACGAGGCGACACGATTGCGCTTCCTGTCTACCTAAAATCCCGTAAAATATGGGGCGCTTGTTCGAACGGAAGACGACTATTCGGACACGACGTGACAATGGAATTCCGTACGGCTTGTTAATTACGGCTCTTTCAGGGGGGGGGGGTCGTCGTAGCTGCGCCTTTCGAGAAAACAAAAGCTTCGTTTAGCGCCCACAGTGGTGTATGTAATATATGCTATAACGAATCTAAAGAAGCGAATATGAATGAAAGAGAAAAAAAATTTGTTGAATTCATCCATGTACATAAATACATAAAAGTTGCAAAGTTAGACACGTTTGCCTTTAGGGAGATATGGTATATATACACTTAGGACCTGCAACACGGCGACGCGGGGTTATTAAATTTTAATTTTTCTCACTTCTGTTCCGCTTTGGGGAACCATTTTTATCTCGGGAGTATAGCTTTTTAAATTGGTATATAAAGTTCAGGTTGAACTGATTTTTTTTTTTTTAAGGGACGATCGGTACTTATCGGTATGTGACTGTATATTTGGGGGGTAAAAAAGGCATAGGCAATTGATTCTCGAGCCGAATCTACGGTAATCGCGAGCGCGCGCTTTAAAAATATAATTTTACATTCGTGACATTACCAGAGATATGAAGAGTTTTTTTTTTTTATTTTATTTTTTTATTATTCTCTTTTTCATTTTTTAAACTGAAAAGAAAACGTGTGAGCGCACATTTCACGAGATCGTCAACGCAGGAATGGTAGTGGAAGGGGACACTCTCCCTTGCCTAAAACGACAAGGAGCTGTACATTATATCGCCAAGTCTCCAGTGAAGCCCTAGATCTGCACGTATATAGTTGGAAGTAAGTATATGATTACAGTGTCGTCATTGTCGAAAACCGCATAGTGCTCTCGTTAGGTTGTTCATTGGCGCTTGCCAAGGCCCGCTCAATTAGATCAGATCGGTAAATATATATGTATGTAACACTTGAACGTGCTGGAAACGTTTGACAATTACAAAAAGGACCCATCGGTAGATAATTATATAATATATTCCGGACAAGAGAACAATGTACAGCAATAATTTTATCATTCGGATGGCCACTACTTTTGGTTTTTGCCCAGCTGCGTCGACGGTTCCCCGGAGAGTTAGCCCAGTCTTATCGATATTTCGTTTATCTTGAACGTGAAGATTTTTTTCGATTAGTGGTTAAATTCACCTCTCACTGCACAGAGAGTCCCTCTCTTTGAATTTCTTTCCACGTGCACTCACCGTATATAGGTATACACACATACAGAGGTGGTTGGAAGAAAAACCTTGTTTCTTATAGAGTACACTTTTTTTATTCCGTTCGCAAAGTTTTAATAAGGTTTTTTTTTTTTTTTTTTTTTTTTATCGCATGATGCGTCGTTTACAAGTGCTTACACATTTTTAGTATAGGTATGGCCGTACAAACGAAATATTAACTTGCGTATCTAAAATCGCTCAAAACCAATTACTACTTGACAACTTTTGACGATTTTCGTCAATTTTTCATGTATAGCACTTACACGTGTTCTCACGTAAAACAATTATTACCAGAACTTTATTTAATTCAATTCTTTTCAATCATTCGTTGTACATGGTACGGTTTTGTGGTTGTAGTCGATTCGAGATGGTATTAAAAAAAAAACCAAAATTTTATTGGATCCTTACTTCAAATATCATTGATTCATGTATACGTACCCCCTACGTGGACAACGTCCTTTTCGGAGCCGTTTGAAAAAAAAAAAAAAAAAAAAAAAAAAAAAAAAATCAACCTCTGCCCAACGCAGTTTCGGCTTCCTCGTACATCTCCCTCAAGTCCTCCCCGAGAGCCTCCCTGTACCCGGGATCCTCGTCCATGCACCTCCGATACACCTCGATCCTGCTCCTCGTGTACCAATTGTCCAGCGCCTCGGGATCGTCGAGGACGCCCTCGAACACGGCTCGCGGCCACCGCATGGCCACGCACACCATGCCCAGGAGACGGCACCTCCGATACTCCCCGTAAAACCACTCCCTCGTAGGTAAGGGTGCCACCCCGTGTCTCCTCGCCACTTGGCGCAATCCGTCGACGTAACGGTCCAACACCGCCTTCAGCGGTACAATTGTTTTCGCATCGCTGAGTACCTCGATCCCCCCCCCCCCTCCTACCTTTTGCGGGGGCCACGATGTCCGCTCGCTGGACCTGGTCGAAGAACTTGAGGCTCCTTACCGTTGCCGATTCGTCCTCCACGTCGACCGTCAAGGAGTAAAAGTCGCCGTTCACTCCGGCGCTGCGCTTCTCGAAGAAAGGCGCGGTCCTGTGTCCCAGTACTGTGGCCGAGGGACTTTGGGGCAGGGCTCGCGCGACTATGCTGCGCACGGCTTCGGCCGGGACGTGCATGGCTCGGCGTTCAGGGGCTTTAAAATACCGAGCGCGAGACGCGCCGGAGCGGACTGACGTGGATGAGCTTGACACCTACATCGTGTATATATGATGCGTGTTACTGCGTGTTGCGTATATTGCTCGAGAGTCGAGAGATAAGATTAGTTGCAAGTGTGCGCGTATGTGTATGCCCGCGTTGATAAATAAAAGCAGAGCTGTGTAAGTTGTGTGTATTGGAGTGATGTTGCTTTTCGAGGTGAAAGCAGTCACAGTTGATGCGTAAAAGAGAAGTCGAGCCGCTCCGAACTTTGACAGTATAGGTGGATGGAGAGAAAGAATCCAAAAGTCTTGCCGGACGATTGTCTATGTTATTTTTTATTTTTTTTTTCCCATCGCGTCGGTATGGACATCTCTTGTCCTCTGGAGTGGGTGGTCCGGTTGAGTGTCGATGTTCGATCGATAACCGTCGATTCACCGAGTGAGCAGGTGTATACGTATTGGTGGGTAAAAGTGGAGAGAATATATGGTACATCACTCGGACGGGCTAGGGAGCGTCGGACGATTCGACGGCTGTAGCGCTCGAGAGATAGAGAGAGTCGTTTCATGGTATATACACTGGTATCTTAAATTTGGGGTAAATGACAGAGCAATAGTTTCCCGTGCAGATGTGATTTTTATCGGAATTGTACAAAGCCATGGTGTTTCAGTTACAAACGGGACACAATTATTTTTAATGTCTAAGTACACAATATATACCAATACTCTATGTAGTTTGTAGATTTATATTAAAAATACCGATTTTGCATCTACATTGCGACAACCACCGTACAGATACATCATTGACCTAAGAGACTCCCCCTCTTTCTTCGTCAAACCTGTTTGTTTGTTCTAGAAGTTGCAGGGTCAACGAGTATCGCTTTGTTTTTTTTTTTGCTCCGGTGCTTGAGGCTCTCGGTTCGTCAAAGCTGTGCAGCAAATCCACGTGTCTTCCCGATGATTCGATCAAGCGTTAAAGTGAGCCGAGACGTTGAAATCCGATTTCGGCGGAGCTTTGCGAGTTGACGCGCAGATTATCGTGTGTCCGTGCTTGACGATTTGGAAAATCCAACCCAAAGATTTCCAGGGGATGAAAAGTTTCCGAATCGATAACTGTTTCCATGATTCGTTCGAATTGGAGAATAAGTTGCGATGGGCAAAATCAAAGGCTCGAATATTAATCGAGCACCTCCTCGGTTTGTCAAATTGTGTACATTGTTGGTGGTGGCGGATACCTATAAAGCTCCTACAAGCTACACCCAAGCTGCTTGTAAGTACATACAACGACATTAACGTAAATCCTTGGATGGCAGTTTGGAGGAAACAACGAGCTACTTACTGATCAGATAATTGGTTTATATTAGATAGCGTCAGGCGTGTTTGGGTATGTATACTTGGTGCTCGTGTCTCGAAATCGGCAAGTTTATTCTTCTGTTTCTGATTTACTGACGCGTGACTTGGGCGAGTGATGTTGCGATTTAAAAATTAATACTTTTTTTTCTCGCTATATACGATTCTGTTGAAATGACAAAAGTTTTGTTTATCACGTGTACACGTGTGTTCGCGGGAAATCGATTATACGCAGATATAACAATACATGTCGCAATGTTTTTACGTATACGATCGAGCGAAGCATAATGTTTATAAACTTGCAGCCAAATTTGCGAGTCTGACGAGGAATGAATATCCATATCTTTTTTTTTTTTTTTTTTTTTTTTTTTTTTTTTTTTTTTTTTTTTTTTTCAGTTATTGATAACAAACATATAGGAGTGCTCACGGATATTAAAAAAAAAAAAAAATTTCAAAGAAAGCGAGAGACTAAAAACGACTTTGACCCGATCGGCTCAGTTGGGGCGTGAAAAAAATATTTACCTTCCGAAGCGAAAAAACGGCTTTGGCTGTGTATATACAAAAGCTCAAAGGCTTGCCCGGAAAGTTAAAAAATAAAGGAGAAAAGCTGAAAATGTGTTTTAATAATAACATATACTTTTTCGTACGGTGGATTCAATAAAAAAAATACAATCAAGTGTAAAAGTTGCTCGCAGTACTTACCCGTAATCCTTGACAAATGGAAGAAAAACCTTGTTTCTTATAGAGTACACTTTTTTTATTCCGTTCGCAAAGTTTTAATAAGGTTTTTTTGTTTTTTTTTTTTTTTTTTTTTTTTTTTTTTTTTTTTTT